AGTTCTTCGATGTGAAACAAATCTAAATATTTTTTGCTCTAAGTTTCAACAATTTAAATTTCATTGTTTTTACATAGATTTATATTTTATAGAGTTTTTCATTCACTAATTTTTATGGAATTTATTTATCATAAGTAATAAGATAAGGAATGTTTACATTTCTCAGCTTTCACTTTCATTGAAACACTGACGAAATAATTTATAACTTCAGATTTTTTATGTAACATAATCGTCTTTTCCTGTTCTTCATTTTCTTCAATATTTTATTTTCTTCCTTATCAACAACACTCGTTTAGTCTAATGACCATTTTTTTTCCTGATCAGTCAGGAGAGTATCAAATAGTCCATGATCACTGTCACAATACCTTAAAAATATATTTATCAAATAACAGCTTAGTAACTGAACACATGTCTAAATGAAATTGACTGTAACCATAAAGACTTTTCTTTTCTCTTTGCATTGTTCCTGGTTTCTCGTCTTTAACGTTAAATTATCAAATTTATGAGATATATAGGATGGTAAATGTCTCTTTGATTATTGTAGATGGTTAGAAATGAAAAGCAAAGTCATTCATTATCATGATAGAAAAAAGTTTTTATATCTCCGTTAGTAACAATAAAGTAATACATACAAATAACTGGTAAATATCACTTTAAACTTCCTGTAATGTAATAGGTTTTTGTAAGTTATAAAACAGATAATCAACAAATTAAACAGAGTAATACAAGATAAGTATCGAGTTATGTAAAAGATTAAAAAGTATATCTAAATTAAATCAGCTGATATTTCATAACCCTTTATCATTGACCTTATTGTAAGTCATTCATGTATAAATCTCGTCATTGTATAAATGAAAACGGGAAAACAAAATAGATAGAAGACGACAGATGGAACACACCTGTAATTTAAATATAACTATGCTATACATTTGAATAATCTGATGTTATCATAGAATGAGAATAACGTAGTGATTACATTTTTGTTGTTGTTGTTGCTATCATTGAATTATGTATACGTTCAATATACAATGATACAAATGCATAGTAGCACAGATATAATCTTTTTTATTTATTCATTATAGTTAAATATAAAGACACGTGTTTAAATTTAGGTCTGAGTGTAAAAAAAAAATTATTGTATTTCTTCCGATGTCAGTATATAGATACCATTATCACTTCTATGTATGGGGCAATTTTGATCAGATAATATGTTATGGGTAAAAGCAACAAATTTAGATAAAATATTATTTTAGGACATTTTATTTCTTATTTATGGATGTAATCGATATCTTCTAGACATTATTGATATTGTAATTTCAGAAACTATGTAATGAAGTGGTTAACTTTTTCTTCTTCTTCAAACATTCCTAGTGAATACTTAGAATTGAAGTGTACTAAAAAAAGTTAATAAATATAGTGAAATGAAAAAAAAAATGACTATTTTGTTAAATAGAAATATTGTCCCTATTATAAGTCACTTTGAATGTATTCTACTTTATTTTAGTTGCAAATTAATGATTAAATATAATAATAAGGAGGAAAATGAGTACATTATGATTTCATTATGACCAAATGACTAAAGTAGTTTTTTTGTGGTTATAATATGTTTATAAAATAATTAATTAATGTAAAGTATTTACATTATACTGTCAAAATAATGAGGAACTAGATAATAACTTCCAGTTTATTTATGCAAACTTTAAAATGCAATATTAATTTCAACAGTTGAGATCATAAGTCAATTGAAGCTAGACCACCATGGAAAACCTGGAAACACTGAACGGTCGTTTCGTTCTATTGTGAGACTCCTCAGCAGTGTGCATCCACGATCTCGCCTTGCGGGATTCGAGCCCAGGACCTATCAGTTTGGCGCATGAACGCTTAACCGCTAAACTACTAAGCCGGCATCCAACGGTGTTAATATCTAATTTCAGCTAATCCACGAAATTGAGCGACACATCCACCATTGTCATCTCACCTGTTGAAATTACTACAATCTCCACAGAACCACTTCTGATACTAATATTAATTATCATATGTTTTATACGTAATATTTAACAGGTTTTAAATAGCGTAAATGTTATGAGAAATAGTCTAGTATCCCATTATAAAGCATAGATGATATAGTGGGGAAGTGAATGTCAATTCATTTAAATGGAAAGTGTTTTGTAAGTGTTAAACAATAAACAATGATTTCATTTGGGTTTGTTTATTCAAAACATTTTATTCAATCAAATAATTAATGATCCACAAAATAGTAGAAAATCTTTATAGTATGCCTAAATAAATCAAGATGTGATTAAAAAGATTACTGACATTAGGGTGCTTGGTACTTGTGTGGTTTGAGCCACAGAATCTAGCCGTAATATTCAGATTGTAGCGTTAAAGCCTATACGATGTCTAGCGGGATTGACCTATACTGCTCGGGTTATAAAATTTCAGCCTGAGAGGTTTCTGGATCTTCTGTTAAACGGGATTGAACTGTACTGTTTGGGTTGTCACATGAGAGTCTGCATGGTGTCTGGTTCTCCTGAAAACCAATGTAAAATTACTCTGGCCCACAAGGGTATATTATATGACCATGAAGATCACCGCCACATAAAACCATTTCGTGTACCTTTGAGAGACTTTGTACATAGATATTTTAAGGGTTGTGTGGAACTGCTCTATAATCTAGCAACAATTGTAATCCCATAAAATATATTAACGGATTCTGTCGTTGATGTTAAATTATTAGGGAGTTAAAGAATAAATATGCTGTAATGTAAAATATCATTAATTAATCGATTACAACCTTGTTCAGTCGATTTAAACTTCATGTTGTGTCCTAAATCGAATGATACTACCCATTACTATGAAGCACTATAGGTGTAGAGGGTTAGGAGTTTACAACTCAGTGGCTGAAAAATCAGTGATTTAAACTGCCAAGTTTTAATTCTGAGCTACATACTTTATAGATAATGTCAAACGTTCGAGTTGTATCTAAAATGTTTGATCATCCCCATTATCTTAAATAGTTTAAGAAAGTTATAAACAAAATTACCCGTTTGTTTGCATTAGTTATTCGCACCTTTTATTGAATCTACTATACAGTCATAACAAAATCTCACTATAGTATTATTATTGTTACTATCGATTTTCTCACACTGAAAACAATACAAATTATCAATGATTATGTTGCCCATTTTGTGCAAATTAGTAAAGAATAATTATGCTTCCATATTTCAAGCATCCAAACAAAAGTTTGTTTTTATCAACAAATTATTCCTAACAACTTAGATATACGTTTCTGACAATAAAATTCATTTCTAATTCCATTTACTGCGACTGGTAAATGTATGATCCAGTCGATATATATATATATATATATATATATATATATATATATATATAATGAGGGTACTTTGTACCATCTAATGTTTTAATAGAATAAAATATTGATATCAAATGGAATATTTGTTTATGTCTTTTGTTAAAATGCAAGCTAATCAGTAGTTTCGTTTAAACGTTCTAACTATACCATAATAAATATATACATTTTGAAATGATTTAAATCGTATATCTGTTAAATAATCAATTATGATTTAGTTTATACTACTAAATAGTAATATAGTAGTTTTAAAATGTACAGTATAACGGACAACTTGTACTTATAACACATTCAATAATTATTACTCGTTTTTTGCGAAAAATTAGTCATAGTTCAAAATCTGAATGAGATACCATTAGGTTTATCTTAAATTATCGATAATATTTTTCCATAGTGATATCGAGTGTTCCCATTGTAAACATTTTAAATAAGATTACGGTTTGAAAATCTATATAAATATTCATTTGACAAACATAATATTGTTCTGTAATGATATTCTCCCATATTCATATATTGAAGCTAATATTTCTCGTCAGGGATTTATGTACATATGGAATGGAATGCACTATGAGCTGTCAGAGTGTTATTTTGACATATAAAGTATATGAGAAGGGTTTTTGTGAATATTATAGTAATTCCAATAGTTATGATCGTGAGTCAACTGAAGCTAGTGACTGGCTTCAAGAGGTATTTCATGGAGTTCAAGTAAGAAACAGTCACTAGTGGAGTTCAACCAGGTCTTTTGTGAGATAGTAACTCACTGAACATAATGCTGGATGTGTTGCGCAATTTCGTGGATTGTTTCAAGTTAGACATTAACACCACGGGTTGCTGATCAGCCCAGTGGTCTAGTGGTTAAGCACTCGCGTGCGACACTGATAGATCGTGTGTTTGAATCTCGCGAGTTGGGATTGTGGACGCGTACTGCGAAGGAATCCTACAATAGGACGAGCTGGCCGTTCAGTGTTTCTGTGTTTTCCATTGTTATCTAGCTTCAATTGACTCATGGTCGCAACCACTGAAATATATATTATAATAAATTGTAATTTAACTGTAATAGGCCTGATTATCTTTCTTCATGGTGATTAAAAGTACCAAAAACTAAGAATTATTTTAAATTAAAGATGAATTTTTAAATATTCTTGTTTACAATAATTTTGTTTCATATTCTGTAGACGTTGTTAAAAATACTTAAATTGTAATTAACAGTCTGTTTATTTTTAAGTTGCTTTCTATAACAATTTGTCCATAAAGACCAGTAAAGATAAAAAATTTGATTACCGTACACACTTCATTTGGAATCAAGTTTTATTTTGCAAAGTATTTAAATAAAGTCTACCGAATTGGTATTTCTATCGTTGTGCACACTTTTCAGGGAGTTCAGTCGTCCCATTAGTTATGCTTAATTTGTCCTCTAGGGATGTTTTGTATTGTTCAATGGAGAAACTGTCAAAAACGTTTAAAAATTTTCTATTTAGAACTTCATTATTACAGTTTAGTGGAATATAACTATTCCGCTTTTATATTCTGATAGTAATAAATTCAATTCTCAACTCTAGTTACATCTGACATAATTAAATATGATATCTTTAATACCTAAGACATCATCTTGTATTTTATTTGATTACAGAAGTGGATTGTACAGTCAGTGAATGGGGACCTTGGACAAGTTGTGAATATACATGTGGTCAAAGTGTCAGTACACGTTACAGACAAATTCAAATTAAACCAAGTAACAATGGTAAGCCATGTCCAGAGTTGAATGAAACAAGACCATGTATTGGACATAATTGTGCATCGAAAAGATTTGGAAGATCTGGAACGCTGATGGTACCTTATGTTTATGATATAAAAGGTAGATTAACACTTTGATGTATATATATATATATATATGTATAAATTCGATATAAATTTCCTATATCCAAATAAGTAATTTCTTTGATAATAACAGTAGGATATTTACTTCTATTAATATAAGGTAATGTTTATGTGTAATCGGTTAACTCAATCCAAATAAACCGTCAATTACTTGGTTACTTTCTTTTTAATCAAACAAAATTAATTCAATACCTACTTTTCATTGTCTTTCACACGACAGTTTACTGATATGGTAAAAGTGAAACACTCCTCTTCTTAAAAGCTAATAAAAAAATTAGAAACCTGGTATGTACACAAGGTCAAACAATGACTCATATCAAACTACCGAAATACCTTATTTATCATTTTTGACCTTTATTCAATAATACAAAATGATTCGTTTATATATTACCAGAAATAGAAAACTATTCACCAAAAAAAACAGGTTTTATTTACACATTTCCAAGCTAAATACGAAGAAATAAAATTGTAATAATAATAATAATAACAACAAAAAGAAGAGGGAAGTAAAAAGAACAAATAAAGTTAATTTACAGGAAAAATGCTGGTATGCTTAGTTTAGTTTTCATTTAATTCAGAATCATCAGCATGTGCATTTGTTTTGACTATTTCTTTATAGTTTTACATTGATTTACCTACTCTACTCATGAGTAGATTTATTATTTGTCATTTGATAAATTGACCATGTGTACAAACAGATTTTATATTCAAGAAAATTTTCTCCATATTTATACATAACAACCCTATCACATAAATAAGCACACACACATACACATAGGCTTACATATCATTTCAAACTGTTAATAATTAGACTGATGAATAATTCATTATTGAACAATAATACCTTGAAATCCAACAGTAGTTTTTCACAGATATATAAATATAATCAACAATTAACAATGCATTTCTTTTTTACAATCTCATAATACATACTGATCAGCTGGATTTTCAATTAATTTGTTGTTGTATGAATCAGCAAACGGCATTAATAGAGATTAGAAACATTAAGTAAAATGGTGATAATGAGGTAAAAGAAAATTCAGGAGGCGATTTTTTAGTGTTGTCAACATGTACACTAGGTTTTATATTTTTTTAATTTTGCTAAAGCTAGACAATAAAAATTCAAAGTAGCAATAAAAAAAAAGGAATTGAAAATTATCAAGAAGCAATTTAGGGAAAAAAACACAGTGATAAGTAAACAAGTCAAGGTCAAGTATGTTTATATGTTTTATCAGTTGTCATAATGGTTGAGAAATTTCGTTTCGCTTTATTCAATTAGATTTTAATTATCATTTAATCTTAAATTGTTATCTGAAGTTCCAATCGACTATTTAAAACTAAAACAACGTCTGTTAGGGGTTAGATTTTAATTAATAATATCTGTGATTCATACATTAACCAATAGTGAACAAGAAAGATATAAAGTATTTATGTAGATTCTTGTAACACGAGCTTTTATAAGACTTTATGAGGAGGAGCAATTATTATATTCTTTTTGGATTAGTATACATTACTTTATAGAAGAAAAAAATGGGAAAGGTAATTTAAGGAAACACTATTGAAAGTATTATAACAAACTATTCAGTATATTTTAAAACCTGTTGTACTAACTATACATATAGCGACGAAATAACATGATTGACACTTATTAAAGAGTTTTTGAAGACTTTGATTATTGAAAGAAACACTGTTAAAACTAATAATGAATGCAGTGAATACAAGTTATTAACGAACACAATATAAAACATTTCTCCATGTTGCTTATTTCAGAGATTATTTTGATAACACTAATAATGGTTTGTATTTTCTGCAACTTAAAGTTTTATTAAGCATCTAGTTTTCATCAAGGCTGCTTTGTTTGTTTTATTCAATCGCAGAAAGAAAATAAAATAAATTGAAACTCTTCCGCTAGATTTATATGGATATTAACTAGTAACTAGAGAGATCAGTCAGTCAGTCAGTAACAACGTAGAACTTCGTACGTACGTACATCAGTTCGAGTTGCCATACCACATTAGCACAGAGATGCATTATTTTGACCGTTTGTCTTTATTACTTAGTGGTGTAAGATTATGGACTACTGAAATCTGAGAATTGATGAATATATATTTTATCTTTAGACCTTCTTAACAATGAGGAGTGTTAGTTGATCACTCGTCACTGGTTTATACCACTTCCACAGTCAATATCAAATGGTTATTTTAAAGAAATCTTCAAATGTGTCCAATCATTTAACAATAACCTGATATTATGAATTACTGTCATTATTATAACACAGTAGCAGACAATAGTTTTCGGTAGATCTGTAAATTGATATATATATATATATATATATATATATACCATTTGACAGATATCAGTTAGATAATCACAGATAGTCTGTTGTCTAACTGCCAGGCTGAAAACAATTTATACTTATCGCGTTAATTTTATGTACTACCGATAAAGACAAAAATAGTATACTAACTGCGGTCTTTATTATTTTTATTTGATTGAAGTCAAGTAACAATGTGATCTGAAACACTAAAAGTTACAGTTAGAAAATTGTCCAACCAACTCATAAACTCAAAAATAACAGTTACTATGTCATCATACTAGAGTAACGATGCCAACTATTAGATAAGAATGACAAAAAATGAACAATTTTCATTTATACAAACAAGTTAAAAAACTAACTTTTTGTCTAAGTTTAAATGGTTAAAGTATTTTTAAATACACAAAAATGCAACATCTCAATGTACCAGTGGATGTCTGTTTAATGTTCATATCATTGAAGACTAGAAATCATGAAACGAATCATCAGAAAATTTACACAATTTACACAATGATCTAGGTTATGTAACAAGGTTTGATTTGATATGTGAATACATAAAACTGGTGTTTTATTGTTTATTGACTTTTTCATAATTCTATAAGCAATAAAGTATTCATCCATTAAAAAAATTGAGATTTTTTTAATAATTCAAAAGGGAAACACTTAGAAACAGTTATTTTTTATTCTTATATGTGTAGTAATCAGTATCGAAATTAACATTGGAATTTCAATGAGTAACTGGAATGTCTGATTGAGATCTAATAGTTTATGAACTTGTAGTTATTATCATACACTGTGATCAGTTGGAAAATTATCGAAAATCAACGAGTTATAGATAGATGTTTTAGTTCAGGTTTAGAATCCGGACTAGACTAACATGCCATTCATCACTATTAAGTGACTTATTATGTGTAAGTGTTTTAATCCGCAACATGTCAGTTGTGGACCGAATAAATTAGTGATAACGCTTAAGACTGCAAAACTAAGTGGTGTGAATTTAAATCACAAACAAAACATCAGTTCCCTAGAGATTACAGGTAATTCTTGCCGAATTGTACGAAATTTGCATCCAGAGTCCCCTATTGACTAGCCTTAACTACATGACATCGCAATACAGTGTACGCATTGTCGAACTATTTTGACCGGGAGCCTCACCGAGACTTCACTCATTGAATTCGATTGGCAATATTTGACAGGGATGTCTGATAACTCAGTAAAAGTTTCAACCTAGAACTTTTAGCTCTTATATCTAAAGTTGTTATATTACGTTACAGTGTAGATACCTACTTGGTAAACATGTAACTGAATTGCGAACAATCGCCTTAAAACAATTAGCGTCTTAACCATGAGTATGCACCAACATTTTTGAAGCATAAGTTTATTACACTTGAAAATCAATCTAAATCTATCTTTTACCTAATTTTTGTGAAACAACTCAGTATTTTATATAAATCAAAGATTGTGGTCAATAAATTACGTTGAAATTGATATACATTAATACGTTATATTAATGGATGACATTTGATTTTTAGTTTTCTCTACACCTTTTCTTTATAACAGCTGAGGTGGCACATTTACTACCCGTACGTGGAGATGTATTGGATTTAACTAGACGTTATGATATGCGTTTTGATGTTCGACGTAAACTCTATCTTGGTAGATTAATAAAAATGAATAAGACTGAACAGCCAGAACCTGATCCGTAAGTAATAATATGACATTCTTTAGATTTTAAATGTTCTTTTCTTGTAACACACTGATCTTCCATTGAAATAGCAGTTTACATTGCTAGAGAATTTGTTTTAATGCTTTTAGACATTAATGCAAAAATTTTTAGTGCTAAAAAAATATAATAATTCAACAAATGGTTATCACGACTCCTCAAGTTACCAAATACTAATTGAAATCTCTTGATTATTGCATTTGATTCGACGAGTATTTATGTTGCTCTAATAGTATTTTATTTAATAATCATAAGTAAAGAAGATAATAGAGTACATTCTATTATACTCACTTTTCGGTCCTCCTCAGAATGTTTAAATGAGTACTTATTATTCAAAAATGATTAAAATTATTCTACAGTCGGGCAAAAATACTTTCATAACTCTTTTCAAAAGCTTTTTTCACAGACTATATGCAGTCTTTCTGTTGGCCAATTTGACAGCCACTTTAGGGTTTCATAAACTATGTTTCAATTAGAGCTCCTAATATTCTCAATGTGTCAAGATGTTTAAACAATGAAATAAACGGTAAAATATTTTTAAAAAGTTGGTCGATGTGAATCAGTGATCACTTACATATCTGTAGATTAGATCTAAAGTTAAATGATAATGCAAAAATAAATAATACAATCTGACTCTTCAAAGCTGAACTGGATGGAACGAGTTCAAACCTAGGACATATTAATCGAAAATCGAATCCTCAAATGAATGTCGTCAGTTTATATATATCATTTATACCGTAAAATGTCTGAACATCTGTATTATGAAATACCACTAATCCGATGATGATATATAGGTAGAGGGATCCCCTTGACTTTTTCTTTTTACTTAATCATTTGATCAGTAATTAAATAGTTTCACTAATTTAGATGTCCCACTAGGTCACTCTGTTTGACATGAAATTCTTTTGACTTTGAAACACGCATGCAATGTCTAACTACTAATAATCTGTCCATAATAATAATTGCCATAACTGATTTATTTAAACATTTTAATGAAGAGCATTCTATTATTAAACTTCAATGACAACAAGATAATTAATATTTGGTTATGTAAGGGGAGAAATGTCAACAATTAGACAGGTCATAATCATAAATTACTAATCGAAGAAAATAACGTCAATGATATTTAAAGATATCAGGATAAGATATGTTGATGGGTGATGATAATAAGTAATGAAAAGTTCTTATTTTATTCTAAGAATAATTATTATATCAGTTTATAGACAGATAATTTCTATGACTAACACATAGATAGTGAATAACTGATAATTTATAAATAAATCTTTTGAAGGTTATAAAACAGAATACAAGAATGATATGATGCCATTATTCCCATTATTATTGTTTCTTAACATTCAGGTATATTAAAATAAACTAGTTAACACTAAACAGTTATTTCGATATCCACTGAAACTTTGTGATGGTATGGTTATTACTTTTATATTACCGGATTCAAGATCATCAATTTGTAAGGAATGCGTTTTTTGTTACTTAAAACACAGAATTTAACTTCAGTTTGAACAGCGTTATCAGTTTATTGCATTTGACCATATGTTACAATTAAAAATATCGTATAAAGAACGATATACTTTAGATTTCATAGGCATATTATGTATCACACGTCAATTAGAATACTTTTGATAAGATTACCGTATCACACCTAGTTTAACATCCAGTACTATAAAAGCTTCACTAACAATGTAATTCCGTAAGTCCACTGATGTTTACTAAAACAATAGAGCTTTAACGTTCTACTCGAATCCGATTTTTCCGAAAACGTTGACCATTGAAATTACATGGATTTAATGTACCATTATTACTAGAGAGTTGTAGAAAATATGTTTATTTATGAAAGGTATATGCAAAACACAATAAAAATATGTAGTGATACTAATCTCATAGTTCCTAGGTAAGTTATATACCCTATTTAAAAGTATAGGTGATTACACAATGAGTTCAATAATAATTTGACTATATAAATAATTTATCATTACGATACTTCTAAACAGAAGCGTTATACAGATATTTTTATTGTAACAGTTATTCTGGGTAATTTAAATTAATGAACTTAAATATCAGCTCAAAATGAATATTGTTTTGATGTTTTCATTTAATGACAATCATTTTCTTATGATTTTCAGATACTGTGCAGTATATGAGATTACGTATTCAAATCAGGCTTGTCAATCACAAAATTTGTTATGGCAATTTTCACAGTCACGCGATCTGTATCCTTCTTATTATTATCCTAATCGTTATAAACGACACAATGATTATAATGGTCAATCAATCACTTTTAGCCGTAAATCATTTCTCCACAAAAGACAATACAGTACAGTTGGAAATACTGGTCTGAACAAAAATTGGGAAGACAATTATTCGAATTCTGAATCATGGATTACTCACTCAGCGTTACTTACACCAGGTCAACAAATCTGTGTGACATGTTATCCAACATATATGAGGGAAGATTTAGGTTACAGATGCACTGGATCTGGATTACCAAATGTTGAGACTAGATGGCGTGCACTACGTACTTCTGATTGTCAAGGTAGATTCCGTATGGTTAGTATACCGCAAAGATCATGTACATGTGGTCGAGGTGTTGCATCATTTGTATTTGTTTAATCATCAATACATAAATCTATGCGAAATTGTCCACGTATTTATTAATTTATCTTTCCAATACAAACTTGAATACACCATTTATACGTACAAAATAACAAACACATACACACATAAGTTTTCATCACTTTTTTTTGGCCGATCTATCTTCAGAAAGAAAGTAGTAATTATGGTTATAAATTTCCAAATACTTATATTACTTAGAAGGTTTGCATTTGCTAAATAACTACAACTAGACTGATGTGTAATCATTACTACTGGTATTAATTTAGGTGAATCTTTTGATGAAGTCTTTTTGTTGGTGTTGTTATTATTATTGGTTTTATACACATTTTATAGCTCTAACTGACATTATTAGATGGGGTCATGCAATTAAACAAAATTGCCTAACTAGAACAAATTGGATTCAATTATGAACTGAAATATTCTACCACTTTCTGTATTATTTATATTCAAAAGTGTTTATTATTTTATTGAATTTTTACATAAATTATTTCTTATATCAGGGTAAAGTGTTTAGGTATATTATTATTGTTTTAATTAATAATATTACTTTAAAATTACAATGAGGAAATTTTAAAAAAATCTGATGAAGGTTAGGTTTACTAGTCACAATTATGTAATACATGTTTGTTTAAATTTACTCAAGGTCATTAGTGTTATTTTGTTTTAATTCTCTAGTCTTTTTTTTAAAAAAAACGACTATTCCATAGAAATTCTATAATAAGGTAATATGAAAATCATCACTTATATATAGCTTTATGTTTTCCAATTTCTTTTTTATTTTACGACATAACAACTTACGGAATATAGTTGTTTACTGTTTATTCTAGTGTTTATTTTTTAATTGTTTATCTTTTTTTCAGTCTTTACGCACAGTCTTTAAAAAGGTTTGTTTCGTATAACTTTTTTTTTCAAATTCAATTGAGTTAGACCATTTTGCAACTTCCTTCTCTTTCGAAGAAAAACATAATAACAACACAACATATTTATGAGAAGGAATAATTTGGTATTTATTAGCTTGTTTACGTTCTATTTTTCTTTATTGTCTATTTTGATTTGTGTGTGTATGCGTGTGTGTACATGTCATGTCATCCTTGGTTTTTGCATAAATAATGGTATATTCAAACAACTGAAAAGGAAATTGAATTTATATTGACAAACTATTGTGTAATTCTAATTATTTAACGTTATCATTCTCGAATCATCTTGATAACTATTACTGATTATTTGCTATCCATTAAAGATATATATATATATATATATATATATATATATATATATATATATATATATATATATATATATATATATATACTGTTTAATGTTACATACGTTATTATTAAATAATTTAACATATTTGATGATTATACTATTCGAATACACACGTTTATTTGAACCTTTAATACTGATATTGATAACCATTTGTTTTGTTATTATTACATCTTGTGTATGTTGTCATTTCACATAATGAAATGTTCTTTTAATGTGTTTATTTGATTCAATGTCTATTATAAATGATTGATTTGCGTTATATTCTTGCCAATTTTTAAATTTCTATTTTCTATTGTACTTTATTTGTCTTCTTTACAGCTTCTTATTGAAATAAATCAGCATTTTTATTACCATGATTAAAGTTATTGATGTAATTGTTTTATTGTCATTATTATTGTTATTATGAGTAATTATTATAAAAATCTAATAAAAATTGTTGTATATTTTTAACTTCGTATAATGGTTAAAACGTACGTTATGCAAATATACTTCTCGTGTATGAATTACCTTGAAGATGAATGTTTGTGTATTAATCTGTTAGTAGGTCCTAAATAACTGATGATATTATTTCGTTTCTATGCGAAAATTAGAATGAAGAGATGACAGTTTCCTTTTCTTTACATCAGCAAATATAAAAATGTTGATTGTTTAGTTATCTCAAAGTCGTTTTTAAGTTATTTATTTCCGAAGAAGCATGGAATCACAAATCTTGATTACCAAACAAATCATAATGATGATAATGGTCTGCTACCATTGAATGAATAAAGTGCATTATGGCCAATTTATTGAACAGAAGAATATAAATTTTTGTGTGCTAACCCAGTAGTCTTAGGGTTAAAAGCTTGATATGATACCTTGCGATTTTCAATTTAAATCCTGGCAGTGTCATAGGTTCATACTACTAAGGAGATGCATATTAAAACAGCTGCTCAGACTTAATTGATATATTATCACAGTTTCTTTCAATCCGAGATAATGGTCACCCACAAATGAAATACTACAAAACCCCCAAATTATCATAATATTCTGACATTGCGAAAGGAATAATTATAAGTTAACTGAAACCTATGAATTTAAAATAATCTTGAAACGTTTTTACAATGTTTCGGAATTCGATATAGTTCGTTTAAACACGTTCTACGCTTTTTATAGAATAAGAATAACAATCATCTTCCGATAAATTATCTGATGAGAATTCGAAAATCTAAATATAAGGTTCGAACTTAATTGTTTGAATATAACTTCCAAATGCCCTGATACCACGGAGGGTGGGGAGAGTTAGCTCTTCTTCTTCAGACACTCTCACATGGCCACGCATATACAGCCACTGCCATGGAAATCCTGCTCACTACCTTCTCGTGGCACTACTGTTGTTTACGAAGTCGATAGGATGAAAAGTGAATGTCTGAACTTTAACTGAGTCGACAGACAAGGAAGGTCCACCTAAGGGGGTTGGAAAATCTTGATTTCAATCCAATGGCGCACATGGGCTCTGGCATCCTGAAGGGACGAATGGCGTATGAACCAATCGTTGGTCACCGGTTACCATGGGACTGCATCTCCTGACGTTGCTCCACTTCATCGTGGATCAGAACTTTAGGTCGAAGGCTCCGGATATTGCCTTCTAAGGAAACCACCTGCTTGGGTTTGAGCACTCGGGCAGTATCATGGCCGACACACAAATCGAGTGAATTGTATAGCACATATGTATTCGATGCCTCTTTGTACCAATATTTATGTGTTCAAATAAATAAATAGTTTGAATATAAATGACACTCAAAACTGACAGACATAACGGTAGTGACTATATTCTGATCTATCAGTCTATTTCATGTAAGATTTTACGTGTCGTTTTGAAATTAGTGACTTCAAAATTTTAATGTATAAAGGTTCCTGATACAACCTTCTATGTAATATATGTTAGATTAAAAAACATACAACTTCATGTGTAATAAATATTAAATTCAGATCATCACAGTGACAATAAATGTGTTTAAATGTTAAAAGTGAAGAATTTAGTAGTTACTGAATACCACTTGGTTAAAAAGGATGTACAGAGATAACTGTAAAATAACAGTAGGAAAATTCTATGTATTGATTAATACAGCGTGATAGTTATTGAATATAACTATTGTTTTATAATAATTCAATGTAACATCTACTTGCATTCCAACTATATCAGCGGTTTACATTACTTGAAGAATGGTCAAATGCCAGTAAAATCTGTACATAGATGAGTGTCTTTAGCTAAAGTTGTCTTTGTAATTTCGGAGAGATGAACGAAAGCTTTATCTATCATTTATTCTTGTCTTCTTCTTTGGGTGGTACAAATAACAGTTTTTTATGTTTCAGTTTTGCAGCTACAAATAAAGAAAATGGATAGATTGTTAGGTTGTTCATTTTAAGAAAACTAGAGCTTAAACATTGTTAGTATAAACTAAATGTACTTGGATTAAATTAGAAGATTCACTGGAGTGGATCACTAAATAAACAACATAAATATCAATAAAGATTGGTAGTCAATTAAATGACATAGTTTTAATGTATATAACCAGTAAGAAAGTACATATGTAATGATTTTCAGGGTCTCATTACCAGATCGAGTATTTACATTTTTCTTGTCGGTCGTCAAGAATTAAAATGGATTTTACTTTCAAAGTAATCAATGAAACTTTATTTAAAAAAAAACTCGAGTTCTACACACTTTTTCTTTCTCGTTATTCTATTTCGAGAATGTCGGGTGGTAAATAACGGTAATCAATCTCTTGTACAATATCGGACTGATTTTATTGATCTCTCTTGAAAGTATATCAAAGCTTTGCCTGAAACTCAGAATGTGGGTTTTGAAGATCCTTACACAACAGAGTTGATGGGATATGACTTTATGTTTAGTCTATATATACTTCATGACGGAAAGGGAAGTATTCTACAAAATGAATATATTCTTTGTTTTTATTTAATTTTATTTTAGCTTAACTATTAAAAAGGCAATCGAAAATGCCCAAAATATGGACCAGAGAAAAATAAGTGAAAATATAGACAAAAAGTTTCAGCATTGATGATTAGTAAGGCTGAAATAATCAAGGAGGGATTCATATTTCATGTGGTTAGTTTCGATGAAACAATGTTCCATGAGCTATATCAATGAATTATGCCAGACAACACGATGGTTTCAAGCTACACAATACGACTTTTACAATTCTACCATCTATTTTAGATAAGGCAACACTCAAAAGATTGTGGATTATTTCTTCAAGACCAAAGGTCAAGACGTCTCATTTGTTCATATCTAATAAGTTAGCATTGTATTGACGTGAATGGTCAATGAACAAGCAATCGATGAGTCGATATCATGATGAACTTCTTTGTTAAGGTATGTAAAAAGGGATCAACTTCACAAAACTCTATTTTTCTTAAATAAGTTCTACATATTTAAAAAACCATACTTTTTGAAAAAACAAACAAATGGTTATTACATGACTGATTGCTTTTTAAAATATTCTTTAAACTGTCTTTTTAGGATCATTTAACTGAAACATCAGTTCTAACTTCAATAAAGAGAATGGGAAAATAGTTTGAATAGAACAATATGTCACTAAGTACACATAATTCGTTATAGCTTATTGTATTCAAATAAGTAAACTTTAACAGATTGTTAAGTAGTAAAGAAACATTTGTAATTAACATTTAAAAAATAATACAAACCTTTATTTTGTAAACGAAGTCGC